TGGCCCAAACTTCTTCTTGCCTCAAAGCCGGAATGGAAGCCTTTTACGGCCCAAAAATTAAAGCAAATATAGGCTGCAGCTATTAACCAAATTTGAGATCCTATTTTTTATTCTTTCTTTTTTAGTTAATCAGTATAACACTTTGACAATGGTTGATGTTAGTGAAAAACACTTTAAAAATAAAATTATAGAAAAAAAAATGTCCCGCCTATCAACATATAATCTGCGGTGAAATAACAACCATGTGCAATAACATAGTTGTAGATGCTGGTTAGGCATGCTAGCCAAGTAGTGTGCCTTCTCCTTGCACCAATGTTTGAATTTCTCTCTTTGTAAATTAAAGTAGTTTAAAATACAAATTGTCTAACAAATTGTAAAATATAGTTTAAAGGATTTACTTGTGACCACCACAAATTTTCTATTTGATAACAATCCAAGCGCACATTAACAAGGTAGCATTCACAGCGAAATTAAATATAAGATAGTGCTATCTATACATCTAGTTATAATTTTCACATACTCTTCTTAATTTCTGGTCGTCAGATCAAATGAATTAGAAAAGGCTAATAAACAAAAATTAATAAAGGTTTGTGAGATAAAAATGAGCATATGAATAACATTATACTAAATATATATACGATCACATCCATCATCCATGTAGATGAGAATACCATGCATGTTATGTCACGTCAAAGGTACATGCATAAACTAATTTGGTAATCCACCAAATACCACATTACCCACAGGACATAATCATGGGCCAAATTTTGAGGGACAAAAGAAAACGATATGTTTTGGAAATTCTAAGCCATATGTATGGGTTAGTTTGTTCGTTAGAAAGACAGTTAATTAGCGGTCTAATTTGCATGGCATTGAACCGACCAAAAGATAAAGTGTGGATAAAACTATTTCTACACAGAAATGGAGAAAACGATGTGTTCAGGAAATTCTAAGCCATATGTTACGTGTTAGTTTGTTAGTTAGGATGACAGTTAGTTGTCGTGGTCTCATTGCATGGCACTGCGCCGACCAAAAGATGAATGTGGATAAATCTATATTCTATACAGAAATGTAGAAAACGATTTAAACGGGAAATTCAGAGCCAGATGTTACGTGTTAGTTTGTTAGATTTTTTTTTTTCATTTAAAAAAGATCAACGGATAACTTCGTTATAGAAGTTCGTACTTTCAAAGTTGAAAAGATTCACGTAGCATTTCAGCCTTTTCTCAATCATCATTTTATGATTCACCAGCACAAAAAAAAAAAAAATTTAAAACATGTTGCGTGAAATATGGGTCTGAAATTCATCTCTAATCAATTTACCACCCGTATGATTGTTGTAGTTTGTTAGCTAGGATGACAGTTAATTAGTGGTCTAATTGCATGGCATTGCGCCGACCAAAAGATAGATGTGGATAAATCTAATATTCTAATTAATCAGAAATGGAGGAAACGCGTCTTCACAAGCAAAGAACTATTGACTAAAGGTCATGAGTTTTACTACTAACTAACTATTGACTTGAATTTGTTTCACCCTCTGATTGGCCTTTTCATTTGGTTTGATTGGATTAACCCCCTTGTTTGTTTCCTGGGAAAATCGTGGGGGTTCATCAACCTGATAAGACAATGACTAAAATCTGATTTTTCAAAATTTGCTGCAAAACCCTTCTTTTCCCCACTATCAATTGAAATGATAACAGGTTAGCTAAAAGAAATAATAAATGGGCTTATCCAGAGAAAACTAGTACTATCGTTATAACAATTTTAAAATAATAAAGAAAACTATGGGTAGAAGTATACCGACTTCTCTAGGTTTTGATCCAAAAAGAAGAAAAGTAGGACCATATACCATGCAATACAAACTTATAATAAATTAAGTGATAGATTTTTAATTGGGGGATATTTAGGGGATAACTTTTATTTTATTTATTTTTGTTAAGCCCAAAAAGAAGAAAAGTAGGACCATACCCAGCAATACAAACTTAGAAATAGAGTGATAAATTTCTGATTAGGAGATATTTAGGGGGTAACTTTTATTTAATTTATTTTTGTTATGTGATATTGCTTTCTAATTTAGACTGCATGCATAAAGAATGAAACGGATTTAAACACAAAAATTATTTTCACTAAAAAACGTGGAACGTTGAAGAGAAATATTCTTACTTGCAACTAAAGGGGATTGTATATGATATTTTATCGCAATAGCTAAAAGCAATCATATTTATGCATCTTAATGCGGATTCAATCCTCACTAATTCTCATTAATGACTAACTATTTAATCCACTAATTACCATTTGTCAAAGAAAAGCTTCTGAGATATTATAATTATTGTCCAAGGAAAATGCCTACTTTACTAACCCGCTTCTTGTGTCTCTCTAGTCTCTCCTTAACCAATTGATCGACATCGGCATACCTTTAGTTTTCATCCCTATCAAGGGGCAAACTATGAATTAGGTATTGCAAAATATCTGCCGACAACTTTCCTCCCCAGAAAAAACAAGGAAACAGAGTTTAAAAACCAAAAGAATTAGCCACTTGGTATGCCAGTAACTGGCAAGAACATAATCACGATTAGCCTTTGAATTTAGTGCTTAAGATCATCTCCAAATGATGTCAAATACTAAAAGATATTCAGGTGTTTTTCAATGGATATGTCATATATAATGTGGTAATTGAGTTATTTGATTCAGTGCTTTCTAGATGTCTTTTTTTACCGCAAACAAAGAAATAGTCAAATATATTTAATTTAATTTTTTAAGGCATGAGTCTCATTAACAACCAATAAAATAAAGGTTTTGTTTCTTTCACAAATGGTCTCTGAGATTGATCAAACTCATCATTTTGGTCCCTCACTTTCAAAATCAATCAATGTCGCCACTGACATTCACTACTGGACATCAATTTGGTCATTCCGTTGAGATTTCGTAAACTATTCTGTTAGCTTGTTTGTGGGACCCACAAATCCAATGAAATTGTGACACGTGGATTACACAAAATAAGTTTTTATCGCAAATGGTTCCTAACATTGATCCAACTCCTCATTTTGGTCTCGGAGTTTTAAAAATCGATAAATTTAGTCATTGACTTTCAATACCGCATGTCAATTTAACCCTTTTGTTAAAGTTTCGTTAATATATTTTGTCACACCAATTCAATCATAAGGTGCTATGTGGATTAACTATAACAAACTATTTTTTAAGATATAAAACTCAAAGTAAAATAAGAAACTAAAAGAATGAAAAGTCATCGTCATCTTCATTAGGGTATGCTAAAAAGGAAAAGGAAGACACCATGACACCACTAAAGTATTTGGCCTCCTGAACTCACTCCTCATTCTCTCTAGTTGGTTATAATCCTATCAAATTTGAATTGAATTTGAATTCGATTTTATAGAATTTACATTGAATTTTTTTTCCCAATTTGGGTTGTGGGATGTGAGAAAAATGTCAGCGCGGAATACTCGTTCGTTGGTCCACTCTTAAAAAAAAAAAAGTTTCTTATAGTTAATCCAGGTGGAGCCATATGATTGGATTAGTGGGACCACATCAACACATAAACGAAAAATATTGATGAAAGGTTAACGGAATGACTAAATTGATGTGCGATAGTGAAAGTTAGAGACTAAATTTATCGATTTTTAAAACTCAGGAACCAAAATAAGGAGTTGGATCAATGTCAGGGACCGTTTCCGATAAAAACCCTTATTTGTGTAAATCCATGTGTCATCATTTCATTGGATTTGTGGATTCCACGTACAAACTAACAGAATAGTTGAATTGATGTGGGGTAGTGAATGTCAGGGACGACATTGATTGATTTTGAAAGTGAGATACCAAAATGATGAGTTTGATCAATCTCATGGACCATTTATGATAAAAATCATAAAATAAAAACCAAATCAATTTTAATACTTGATGTAACTATGAGGCCCAATATAATAATAAAATTAATACTTGATGTATGTATTGAAAAGGGAGAAGAGATCCTCTCTGGATCTCTTCCACTAAGGTCACCGGATCAAGTGATCCGGACCTTTGAAATTTCATCTAACGGTCCAAAATTATTATAGTTTTTAAGGGGTCAAAACAGGTGGGTCGTTGGATGAAATTTCAAAGGCCCGAAACACTTGATCCGGTGGCCTTGATGGAAGAGATCCGGAGAGGATTTATTCTCATGAAAAAGAAGATTTGACATTTGTATTCGATTGGCTACACCAGTTATCAAATAAAATTTTGACATATTATATTTGTCATATTTTTTGAAGATGCTCTAAGATTAAATCTCTCTCATTGTTAGAAGAACATATGGGCCATGTCCACTTTGCTTTTGGTTTAGGCCTCTAGCTACTCATTCAACCATTGTAGTCCGTCACAATAATTTAGCATTGTCATTATTGAGTAAATTCTCCACTTATAAGATGAAGAGTAAATTGTAGTTATGGTTCCTTAACTTTAATTCAATTAGAGCAATGATCCCTCAACTAAAATCCATTACCATTGGTCCCTCACCTCATCAAAATGTGCAGTTATGGTTCCTCAACTAAAAATTCATTATCATTGGTCCCTCAATTTTAATTTAACTAGAGAAATAGTCCTTTAACTCTAACCCAATTATAGCAATGGTCCTTCCAACATAACCCGTTTTGACAAATTTTTTGACGTAGTTGACGAAAATGACCATAATTACACACTTTGATGAGTTGAGAGACCCTAATTATATAAATGGTTATTCCAACATAACTTATTTTGACAAAATTGATGAAAATGACTATAGCTACACATTTTGATAAGTTGAGAGACTAATAGTAATGGATTTTTAGTTAAGGAACCATTGCTCCAATTTGATTAAAATTGAGGGACCATTGCTACAATTTACTCTTAAGATGAACACAAATATCAGGAGACAGTATTATTATTAGCGGCATTGTGCTTAAGAGAGAGTAACTTCAATTGATTCGTTTTGCCGTGGAAAAACAAGCAGAAAATACGAAGTCGAAAAGAAGTTTAAATCAGTAATAAAATCTTTACGAAGTTTGGATTAAGTACAGAAAATACAAGACTAAATAAATACATTGCTTCTTATACAAATTGGTCACACTCTTAGACCCTAAGCAAAGTTAATTAGAATCTAATTAATTATCAAAAAGCAAAAACCACTTCAGAAATGCCAGCAGCTTCTTCAACCCAAGCAAGGTTCAGAGCCAGTTTACCCTCGGCCGACCACTCGAAAGCCACTTCAGCACCATTCAAATAACATTTCTTTGGAGACTCACTTGAGTAGGCCAAGAAATTGCCTCCACCTTTGACCTTCACCTTCACCATGGCACTAACCTCAGCTGCACTAGTCTTGTACTCCAACTCTTGGAGGGCACCTCCACTGTTGAACATGTTTGTAAGTCCAATTGGTGCGAATTTGATGTTGCGTCCGAGCTTTTTAATTGGCACGAAGCTGAAAAGCTCGAACGAAGATGGCTGGATGATAACTTGAATTGCATCAGATTTTGGGGTCATTAGGCGGAGTTCATCAGCCTGGTTGAGATAGACTACGTACCCTTCAGCCTTGCCCATATGTGCTGCTTCTATCTTTTGGTCCCATTCAATTTCGGAAACATGCAGTGAACAAGATTTCAGGTTATAGCACTCTGAGTATCCTCGGATCCTTTGCTCTTTGGGGTCCCAACCAGCCCCTTGGCAGTTGAAAGCTCCAATCACACCACCATGCTGTGTAACAATAACAAATTTAGTACATATGTTTAGCGTCTAAATTGTTACAAACTACAAAAGCACTTGAGAATAAGGAACATATGCATACCTTGTTGAAGTTCCAAATTTTAAGAACAGTTTTGTTGTCAAATAAAGGGTTTTTGAAGAGGCAGTCCCTAGTGGGGAGGGCAAAATGCTGGCACTTGGGAATGGTACCATCCGGGTAAACAAGCTTCTTAATGAGATCAAAATCATGGCCGGAAACTGAGTCACTTACATACACCGGACCTCCACAGATAGCTCTAGATCCTGCATGAAATTTGGCACACAGATGGTCTGATTGGAACATATCCCAATCGGGATGTATGATCTGACCCATCCACATGCTGTTGTAGGCACAATGGATCATATGAACACCTTGTAACCAATAAACTCCCATCGGATCTCCATTCGGATCTTGGAACCAAAAATCATCACCTGCAACACAAGCATAACATCCACACGATCTCATTAAGATTGAATGTCCCGCGGTTTAAAAGGAAATTATAGTTTGAACACGAAATCAGTTTGGTTCGAAGTTTCTTACCAACTCTTCCAAAAGAGATTTGCTTTGTCCCTAGGAAGAAGAAATCGTTGCACTGCTGCATGCTAGCAATTAGTCCATTCCCTTTGAAGTTGTTCTGAAGAGAGCGAGACAACCCCTTGTAATACGCCTTCGCAAGCTCCACGCGGCCTCCATACTCCTCAGATACATACTCGAGAGTCTGTATGGAAAATTCATATCAACAATTGGAGTACACAAATTGAATATATATAATCCAAACAAGGCAATATAGCAGAAATTAAGAAGGTGATATATACAAGACTTACTTGAATAACATCCACTTTAACTCCTGTGATGCCAACTTTGGAAAGGTAGGAGTGCATCGCGTCATACAAATTATCAGCTTGATCAGGATGAACAAGTCCAATTCCGCCCTCAACGATTTTCACCACAGCAAGGTCAGTCATGGTACCATCAAGTCCCGGAGAGACTTTACATGGAGTGATCTTTGATTTAAGATGTGTTGAACCTGGCCTAACACCACCCCAGGCACCACAGAGAGCATGCCATACGTATATATCGTCCAAGCCTTTAAATTTGGTTCTCAAATCCTTCGTGAAAGCCTTCATTCCGTAGTTATTGGCGCTGCAAGAACAGCTTCCGCAGCCTTCATTAGAAGCAGTGCTTTCTTCCTTGCCAAGGATCTCATTCAACTCTTGCTTCAGCTTCTGAATTTTTGTTTCAAAATCGGACAAGTCAGTGGCTCCAGATCGAATGGCCATGTCACGATTCTTCTCAGCGTGTTCTATTTCAATTGCCTTGGCTATCAACAACTTTGGCTTTTTGGGATCAAACGAAGGAGCATCCGGCGCCAACATCGAACCGCCCCTGTACTCCCTGAACTTCTTGCACTCGTCAAACCTGTAAAGCCTGGCAGTCATTTGAGTCCCGCCAAGTACTAGATTTTTCGCATCCTCATTCACATCCTCATCATCCAAATTGATGCTTTGCCAGCCATCATCAATGATGAGAAACCTAGGGGATACACCACCTTCGACAAATTCGTTGACACCATGCCAGACACCAACAGGCTCTACAGTTAAGTAGAAGGCATCCCAAGTGCACCAACCAAACTTGTCAACCAGATTGGGGACCGTCTTCTCTTCCAACAGCCGAAAGGTATTAAGATGGACCCTAAGAGCACTATATGCTTCTTTCATCAAGTTGTAGGGATTGTCCGAAACATGGACATAAGCGATGGCATCGAAATTCGATGCTTTCACTTGGGTAGAACCACTCTCAGCACAGATCATGACATGATCATCAGTGCCAGGATGAAGAGCAGACCTAAAGTTGCCTTCGATAACAGGCAAGATTATAACATAGGACTTAATTTCCGGGACATCAAAGAGCACCCATTGGGTTTCCATTTGCAGATTTGACCCTGAACTTCCCACAAACATGGTGGACCACCATGTCTTGAACCTAAAGATGCTAAGGAAATCCCTGTTGCTAAATTTACCTAAGGAGTTCATCAACCTATCCGAAGGCTCCTCCTTCCTGAATCCAAGGAACCCGCCCTTGTGGGACAAGGCGCGAACGCGTTGGAGCACAGGAAGTGGAGCATCAGAAGACTGGAAGATTGAGTGGAAGTGATTAAAAGTGACATTGCTTGGAACTTCAGTGAGCAACGGAACACCGTTGACACTAAACTTTCCATTAGACAAATTAAAGTACTGTTCTAAACTGTCAGACCGACACGCGAATCGGATCGGATTAACAGGATCATCAGGAGGTTCCATGAGCAGAGGATAAACAGGAGGGCTAGAACTCAAAGAAAAAGCTAAAACAAAAGATTAAGGTGGTATATAGCTGTAGTTTAGAACAGGAATTTGATTATATTCTCGAAATATATGGTTTAAAAGCTAGAAAAAGGGAGATCAAAAAGAAGATTCAGAGAAGCCAAACAACAAAAAAAAGTAACGAAATGAGCAACGTTACTTAGATTTGGAAGTGAGTGCGTGAAGATTTTTCTTTGTTTGTGATGCAAGCGAAAGCGGGAGAGAGTTGGAAACTGGGATCGAACTCGGAGCATTCCAGTTGGAGTGAGCGAGGAGTTTGGTTAATACAGAAAGAGGGAGAGCTATGCACGTATATATAAAGCAGAGGGTGACAGAAAAACAAAGAGGTGGTCGGTTGGCTTGCTGAGGATAAAAGTGATCATTGAATTATTACTTAAATGTTGATAAATATGTTCATTTCTTACTAATAACATATAATTTAGTTTGCAAAATAATTCTACAAATTTAATCTTCTGTCATTACTTTACGTGAAAAAAACAAACCGACCCATGAAACAATGACTAAAAGCTTATGTCAGGTCCCAGAAAGTGGGACCAGTAGGACCAGATTAAAATATAAAATATATATGGGAAGTTGCCACGTTGGCAAGAGGCAAGAGCTGGACAAGTTGATGTATGATGCCGAAGCATGCATGGGTCGTGAATATAATGCTGAATTTAAGTTCTGGACTTTGGTAGGAGGTTTTGTATTTATTTCAGAAAAGGAAGTTTCAAGCATTATCTAAAGGAAAAAAGAGAAGGAAGAAAAAAAAAACTGGAAGTTTCCACGAGTTTAGTTTTAGAAAATGAAAACAAAAAAATCAAAAAATGAAAATTTAAAAATAGTTTGCCAAACAAAATTTCAATTTTTAATCTTAAAAAAATAAAAAATAAAAATAAAAAACTAAATAATTATCGAATGGTCGATTTTTATCATTGGACTTTTGTTACTGCAGTCTCATCATTCAAATCTCCTCATGCAGTACCCACTAAGACGGAAGATGGAAGACGGAAGATGGAAGATGCCAGATGGGATTGTTGCACACTTGCCACAGATGAGCCACCGTTACAAGGTAATCAAAAGAACAACAATTTTGGTATTATTACTCAAGTTATACTAAGGGAGAGAAAATAAGTTAAATTTAAGGAAAACTAATAAAAAGGGCTTGAAAATTTTGAGTTTTTAATGATAAGGACAAAATAAATGGTAAAGTGAATAGTAACATGATTGACTTTTTAGTGTAAAAATGTGGTTTTTCGTTAAAATGAACAGTACCGGGAGCTTTTCGTTAAAGTTCCCTTAAATTTAAGACGTAGTAAGTTGAAATGAAAAACGTTATCCATTTGTTATATTGAGAGAAGAGAAAATAATTTAAACTTAGAATGCAGTAAATTGAAATGAAAGACGTTATCGTTCTTTTTTACCAGACATATTAACTTGATATCATATGAGACATGAAGAAGAAAAAAAGAAAAAAACCTGAAATCGAATTTTTTTTTCCCTACAACATATTCGACATGTTATTTGACCCAATATTATCTCACTATGTACGAGCTTCCCTAGTAAGACAGTTTTATTCAAATTTCTTTTTCTTCAACCATAGGTCACCCTTTTTAAATGATAAATTCGTCGGCATGAGAAAGATGACAAATAGCACCGACTTACAACTAACGTTCAACCTTCAGCAATTTTTTTTTTTTTTCCATTTTCCTTTCACATGTTTACGATTTATTTTGATCCAACTTTATTTGAGGCTTATGCCACTTAAACCTCACCAAAAACAGTAAATCGCTCTTCGTCTAATGATATTTCTCTTCATACCATTAAAAGAGATAAAAAATTTGAATCATCCTGCGCCTGTCGATTAAAAAACACAAGCCATAAAAAGAATAGGATCACGTAACAAGCAATTCATTCCAGAATGTGACACATTTATACTTGATAAAATACTTCCTCGTTTTATGTTATGAATGCCTCCCAAATACACTAGTTACTTGATCAATGCATTCGTTTTCTCGAAGTTGTGTGTACCTAGTGATGAGTGATCCTTACAACGCGGAAAACAAGCATCTTGCACCGAGTCTCCGGCATCATTAAGCCGCTCCGTATGGCAAGAGTGCAGCAGCCACAATCCTACCTTCTTCGTTCAGAATGTTGTAAGTTGATATAGCGTTTCTCTGAGACAAAAACACACAATATAAAGAAGTTGGTAGTAGAACCCACCACCGTGATCATACCCCGTTGAAATGGAGCTCTAATTGTCATATCATTTTGATATAGAGATTGAAATGAAGCATCCAAATCAGCTTTTTAACTCTCCACCAATTGGAACTACAGGCCCCAATCACACCTTCGAAGAGGTCAAATAGAGTAGTTACAACAAAACTTATCAATATAAGTTACGGGAGAGAGTTAGACTGAGAGATCCAAATAAAAGTAAGAATACTCTATATATTGAAACTAAACAAGAACCGACGCTTGAATTCAACCTATTATTTTACCAGACACTAACTAAAGTTCACATCACGCCTACAGTAAAAATCCAGCAATTGATTTCATGCCTCAACTTGATCTTGAAAATTGGTACAGGGCTTGCAGTAGAATGTGTTCCAGTTAGAACAATGTATGCAAATAAACTGAAGAAAGAGATGGTAGGTTGTGGCCTCACACAGAAAACAGCGGTAGTCAGGATATTTCCTAATACAATTTCCACCCTAAGGACTAGCGAGTCTAGGGACTCTGGGGATAATAAACTAAAAATTTCCTACTTTTTGTTAAAAAATGTTTGCACAAATTTCCAACTAGACATAAAGACCAACAACAAACTAATAGATGTGGAAAATACGCTTCATTAAAAACAGCCCAGATCACATGGGAGCAAAAAAAACTAAGAAATATAAAACGAGGTTAAAGATTCTCAATACAAATTGTAACCCTGCATATAGAACACCTTCACTAGTAACTTAAAATATTAACTGTTTCAACAAGTATGACCCTCGACTGTTTCAACTAGAGGTGGGCATTTTAGTGGGTCTATCAACCAACCCAACTGATATAGGTTGGGTTGGGTTGAGTTCTAAACATTAAAAACTTAAATATGGGAAAAAACCTGACCACCCCTTCTATAGGTGGGTTGGGTCGAAGTACTATTAACCCAATTGAACCCGACCCACCCGAATGATAATAAATGGTTGAAACTTTCAACCTTTAAAACCAGATAACACTTTCTCCATTTAACAGACTTGCATGTGAAACCACCCAACAAAATTTGTAATTTGCCAATGCTGGGACTTAAACACTATGCAGCGGATAAGATAGTGAATCAATTTGAAACTGAGAACTTATGGCATCAGTTTAAGCAAAGGAAAACACCTGAAGAGCTAGTTTGTAAAGTGCCCCTCAGTGAAGTTGATTGCCCATGTATAGTATCACTTTATTCTCACAAAAGACAGCCAAGTACAGAGAAAATGGAGGAAAGCCTTCACGAAGATTTCCTAAGACAAAAATTAAGTTGGGGCTAATACAAAAATAATTACCAAGAGATGATCAAATCCTTCATCACCTTTGGTTTTTTTGTTTTTTTTGTTTAGATGGAAAACCATTGATGCCGGAAGAAAGTTTCCGCCCCACTAGAGTATTAATTCTTATTCATTGACATTAAGATTTTTAGGGTCCATATGGAACCTAGAAGAAAAATTACACTATAAGTGGCCAGTTATCATACTACCAAAATAGTTTGATCATGCTTTGAATTTTTGATATATCCCCTACTTTCCTAATACATCCTATATATGATGATGCTACTTTATTCACATGACATCCTTTCCTAACATTATATATATATATATATATATATAAAAGGTCGTACCCTATATATATATATATAATGTTAGGAAAGGATGTCATGTGAATAAAGTAGCATCATCATATTCTTACAAGCTATGTTACGTATTCATTTGTCTGATCAATCAAAACATTAAGTGACCACAATAAGAATAATGTGCAAGAAAGGGAAATAAAATAGACACACGGATGAAATATACCGAGTCAACGGCTTCTAACTTCATTCCCGTAGAACGAATGTAGCGTCGTAGTTCAGGATCTACGGGTTCAATGTTTCTCCCACAGCCGAGAATCAAAATCTCTGAAATAAATTATCAAATTAATATGTCACTAGAGAAATAACAAGGAATAATTTCAAACTAAAGAGTAACCTATTGTTTCCAGTAGTATGACAAGAAGTAGGGTAAATTATAAGAAAAAAGGAATTCATCTGCTATGTTTCAACTTTGTAAAGAGCTCTTAAAATTCAAGAAAAAGTGATACCCCTTCATCTTCTAATTTTCATTGCCTAAAGGGAATTGTTATTAGCACTCCTAAAATCTCATTTGGCAATCCAGACTTTCTATAATTAGAAAGAAAAATACACCCGTGAGGAGTGTAGAAGGAGATTTTTGGAATGCTAATAACAGTTCCCTTGCCTGAATCATCACAAAAATCAACAGAATCTGTAAGAGCCAAAAACTTGAGGCTCCACATTCTACATTTCCCTCTGTACGCATTAGAATTTCTTACAATTCCTACATTGTTTCAATTATAATCATTTTAAGAGCCATATATATAGTAGTTTAGGTCACTTTGTCTTCGAGTGAGGAGGGGATGGCCAGACATAGTGAGGGAGATGAGGAAAAGAAAATCGGTTGGAAAGAAAATTAAAATATCCCCATGATTGAAGCCAAGGTTGTACATATTACTTTAGTTGACATTTAAAATTTTTCCCATCAAAATGAATGACATGTGTTTATACCATATTTAGGACCTCGTATTTAGATCTCGTACAAATACTCAGGGGACTTAAATGTAATTATGTGATAAAGGAAGGGGCAAATATGTAATAAGTGAGGAGTCCTTATTCTATAAAAGGACCCCTCACCCTCACAATTAGGAGAGACCAATTCCTAAGCCTCTCACCCCCTCTCAAAGCTCTCACATTACAGAGCTCATTCTCTCACAAATACTCTCAGAGAAATACATATTTAGTGTGGACGTAGCCCAAACCTTGGGGTGAACCACAATACATCTTGTGTTATTTACATTACTTGCAGATTCACGGTCGGATTTACTTTGTACCAAGACCATCCGGTTTTGTGCATCAACATTTGGCGCCGTCTGTGGGAAACGATACGAAAAGTTGTGTCTGTTCTCTTTTATTTTTTTTCCGCCGTGAATCTGTAAAAACCCACACAAAAACACAAAATTTGCACACTCTATTACTCTACTCTGCACACCCATTTGATTCGACCATTTCTTCCATCCGCAAAAACTTCCTCCAATCATTCGATCTTCCTAGATATCCAGAGACAGAGAAAGAAAGAGATGGAGTCCGACGTCCCACTCATCAAAATCGCAGGAGAAGACGACTCGCTGCTCCAATTGACCCACGGTGACGTCGTTTTCAGGCAACACTGACAGCAAGAAATAACCCATTCACGAGATCGATCGATCGATTTACACAAAGAATGAGCAGCGACAAAGCTCCGAATCCAACCGCTACTTCTGCTGTAGTGGCCATGAATGCATTAATTGATACTAGCAGTGGCGTTAGTGCTATGGCTAATGCTAACACAAGCCTTCATCCCGGCGCTGAATCCAGCAAGGGCGTCAATGGCCTGGACAAACTCGTCCTCCATGATCCACGAGGCAGTTCCGCGAAGGCTAAAGTTTAATCTTTGAGGTATAGCTCGGAACGTTCGAGACGATGGAAGAGGCCGGTATGGTTTACGATAGGGCCGCGATTGCGTTTGAAGGATCTCTGGCTTTGACTAATTTCCGCAAGCCCCCTGAAAAATGCCATTCCAGACAACTCGGACGTGGACCGCTCTCAGTCTCCGCATAACTCGGACTACAGTCACTGTGTGGGATTAGCAGGGACGGTCAGGATCTTATCTAGACTTACTATGGGCCCCACTACATGAAGGTGAGGAAGATGTGCACCCTTAAGCTTTTCTCTGCAAAGAGGCTTGAGGATCTCAGACCCATTAGAAAAGATGAAGTCACTGCTATGGTCGAGTCCATCTTCAACCACTGCACCAAATCTGATGAAATGCCACCGTGACCGTTGTGCCATGGAGGTTGCTCTTCTGATTCAGCCACTAAAATTACACATGCCACAGTGGACAACAAAAACATGAAAGTTGACGAAGGCAGTGGCGGTGGCTCAGGCGGTGTGCATGTGCTGCCAGGTTGGATTTCAAAGCAGTAAGGCATGCAGCAAATGTCAGTATACCAGTTACAATGGCTTCTACAGATTTCACAGACCTGCTTTGAATCCATAGCAGTGGATCCGCAACCTCTTTGTCCCTGGTGGTCCCGTTGTGCCCAACATCTCCACCTCCATCAGGTGCAATTAAGGCAAAGCGCACCAAAAGATACCTTGCAAACATGGGTGGACAGAGAAAAAGCTTGTGAAGAGGCCGAAAGCAAAAGCAGAAGAGCAGAAAGAAAAGTACTCTGATGGGATTTTTTTACAGCTGGAATACACCAGCTTGTGTTCAAACAGCAGAAAAAGACAATAGAAAAGTGAGAATGGATGGGCATGACCACGCTGTCTAAGAAAAGAAAGTGGAGTTAGCCCTCCAATTTCGCTAAGAGACAGAGACAGAGACATAGTGGAAAGCAAAAGGAAAAGAGAAAAAGAGAAGGAAATGGAGTGCAGCAGAAAAAACACAGGCAAAAGCAAGGAATAAACACCTCACCAGAGTGATGTGGTTTATTTTTCTTGTTTTTGTATGATGTAATTTATTTTTCGTATCTTTCGGAAACATCAGTATAAACCCTATCAGAGGGTAAATAAAAAAAATAAAAAAAATAAAAGAACGGCAAAGCCCAAAACAAATGGGCTGACATGTTGTGGAGGGCGAAGGCTCATAAGCCCGAAATAGCACCAACCAGGTCATCAAAAGTACGTCCAATACTCCATAATTATTCGGCAATCTGCCGCTATTACCACCAACCAGGCGATCAAAAGTACGCCCAGTACTCCACAATTATTCGGAAACCTGCCGCTATTACCACTAACCAGGTGATGAAATGTACAACCTGTACTCTAATATCATTTGGCAACTAGCCATTCATGCCACCAACTAGGTGATGAAATGTGCAACCCGTACTCTCATTCATGCCACCAACCAGGTGATCAAAAATACGCCCAGTACTCCAAATTATACATGAGCATTACTCATTCCATTCATACATAAACATTCATGAGCATCACTCATGACAATCATACATAAACATTCATGACCATCATTCATATCAACATTCATGAGCATCACTCATGACAATCATACATAAACATTCATGACCATTATTCATATCAACATTCATGAGCATCACTCATGTTAACATTCATGAGCATCACTCATGACAACATCCATGAGCATCACTCATGTCAATCAACATAAACATTCATGAACATCACTCATGTCAATCAGCTTCAAAAACTTCATTTACAGAGCTCTAGCTTCAAAGCTTCACTTGCAAAACTTCACCTACAAAGCTTCAGTGCAGGGTATACAAACACCGCCTCCAAACAACAGCCACTTCGGCCCATACATGGATTCAATTTGAAGTCTCCAGCCAATAGACTCTATTGACCGAAAACTTGGAAGACTACATTATGTACCATATATTGAGCCTCATGAAAAATACTTGGGGGACTTAGCCCATTATTTATGTATTAAGGAGCGAGCCTTTATTTTATAAAATGGACTCCCTCACTTTCATTAGAAAGCACTAATTATTCATGTACTGAGGAGCGAGCCTTTATTTTATAAAAGGGACTCCCCCACCTTTATTAGAGAGCAACGCCGCCAGTTGAGCAACCGTCTCGCAGCGAGTATCACTCCTAACCCATCATTTATGTATTGAGGAACGAGCCATTACTTTATAAAAGAGACTCTCTCACCATCATTAGAAAGCATCGCCGCCTACTGAGCAACCGCCTCGCCGCGAGTATCAACTCTACCCCATCATTTATGTATTGAGGAGCGAGCCCTTATTTTATAAAAGATACTCCCTCACCATCATTAGAGAGCATCAACTTTAGCCCATCATCCATGTATTGAAGAGTGAGCCCTTATTCTATAAAAAGGACTCCCCCACCTTCAACGCCACAAGCCGAGCCAACCAAGGCAAAACAAGCCACGAGCCTCGCAGCATGTGCTACTTATAGTTGAACATCATTTCAGATTGGGCACCGCCTCACATCGAACATCAGTTCAAGACAACATCTAGTTACTTCGGCCCACACATGTACTGAATTTCAAGTCTCCAGCCAAAAGACTCTCTTGACTGAAGACTTGGGGGACTACTGTTTATACCATATTTAGGGCATCGTATTTAGATCTCGTACAAATACTCAGTGGACTTAAATGTAATTATGTGATAAAGGAATGGGCAAATATGTAATAAGTGAGGAGTCCTTATTCTATAAAATGGCCCCTCACCGTCACAATTAGGAGAGACCAATTCCTAAGCCTATCACCCCCTCTCAAAGCTCTAACATTACAGAGCTCTTTCTCTCACAAATACTCTCAGAGAAATACATATTTAGTGTGGACGTAGCCCAAATCTTGGAGTGAACCACAATACATCTTATGTTATTTACATTACTTGCAGATTCACGGTCGGATTTATGTTGTACCAAGACCGGTGAAGATAAGTACGTAAATGAATAGGGACAGGGAAGCAAACACAAGATGTACGTGGTTCACCCAGATTGGCTACGTCCACGGAGTAGAGGAGTTCTCATTAATTGTGAAGGATTTACACAAATACATAGGTTCAAGCTCTCCTTTTGAGTTCTAGTGAATAGTTTAGTACAAATGACATTAGAGATTATTGTGGGAGAATGATCTCTATTTATAGAAGAAAGTTTCTAGTTTTGTTCTGACATTGACATGTGTCATGTTGTGATTGGCTTCTGACGTTGACACGTGTCGCGCTGTGATTGGCTTCTGATGTCGACACGTGTCACATTGTGATTGGCCTCCTGGTTGAAGGGAAGCTCTTCTGAGTCATTGACGGTATAACGTTGACCGGTGCTCAATAGTTTTGGGATTGGTCAAGTATGGTATAAACAGT